GGGTGTGGTGACAGAGCACGGCGGGGTTATTAAACCCACCAAGGCGGTGTCCATGTTTCAAACGCTCGCTTTGCAGAACGGCGCCGTTTTGAGGGATAACATGGAGGTGAAGGGTGTGGAGAGAGATAGGGTGAGAGGAGGGGTTTGGGTGTGCACAGCAAACGGGGAGAGGTTCTTCCTGGCTGGGATTGGAAGTTTGTCCCTCAGTGTACTCGACTACTGGCCCCCGAGAGACCTCCTGCGTTCACCACCCTGTGAATTTTCAATCAAATCCAAGAGCTCTGCTCCTTTTTTTTTTTTTCTGCAACAAAAGAACATGAAGTCAGTAAGAGAGGTTAAGAGAAAGTGACGGAACACAACAAGGCACTTCTTCCTCTCCATCCATGCAGCTCTTCGCCTGCAAGACCCTCAGCTTCACTCTGGCCACCGTGGTCAAAATTGGCGAAGAACTTCAGTGACCGCTGTCAAACGACTAGCCGATCGTGAAGCTCGACGCTTTGCACTACTTCAAGCTCTGGCTGCTTCTGCACTTCCGCCATGGCTGCTATCTTTGAATGTGATCAACAAAATCAAAGTTTGTCAACTCACACCCAAAGATCTCATCCGTCTGCTTGCCTCTGCTGCTGCCTTTGAATGTGATTGACAAAATCAAAGTTTGTCAACTCACACCCAAAGATCTCCTCCGTCTTCTCTCGGACTCTACTGGGTTTTCACCCACGAACTCAGTCTTGCAGATGGCCATATAAAGAAAAAAAAAAAAAAAAAAAAAAAAAAAAAAAAAAAAAAAAGGTAATGATGATGCTGGGAAGCATCTTTCAAAAGAATAAAAAAAAAAAAAAAGTAATGATGATGTTTCTGCAATCATGTGAAATATATATATATATATATATATATATATATATATATATATATATATAAACGATGGTGGTGCTTCTGGCACCATCTGAAATATATATATAAATGAATGGTGGATCAGCGCCACCGAAAGCAAACAATGAATAAAAAAAAAATTGATGATGGACAGTGATGTATATGTTTTATCAGTATTTAGCATAATGCACTAAATAAAACGAAGCATGTTCATTGATTTTCGAGAAATTACAAGTGCGAAAAAAAAAAAAAAAAAAAAAATGTATCTAACAAAGAAAGAGGAAGATGGAGCCTTCACAAAGGTTTTTCACGAGAAGCCCCACTACTTGGCCAAACTCCAGGAGCGGGAAGCACCGAAGATAGATCATTCGAGGGCCCAATACTTGGTGGAACGCTTGATGACGCCGGAAAAATGTGCCTCTGGAAGAAAGACGCAAGCCTTTGACGGTCACTTTGAATGCGACCTTGAGATTCTTGCATCTCATCAAGCTTCCTCTTCATGCCCGACGAATAGTTATTTGCAAGCACATGCAAACTTCTATTCTCGTACTTAAGCTGTTTAATCTCCTGCTTAAGATCTTCCACCTCTGCCATCAATGATTCCACCTGACGGGACCGAGCAAGCAGGCGTTGGCCCATGTTGGACACAGAGCCCGCACACTGAACACTAAGAGCGAGGGACTCTTGAACGGCCAACTCATCGGACCGTCCTGACAGCAGCCTACTATCTTTTGGAGTAAGGAGGTTCCTAGCTACTATTGTAGCTGTTGTGGCGTCCTGCATCACGGAGTCTTCACCTGTAAGAGGACCGTTAGAAGATAAGAAAGAAGGACACCATACATTACCTTGAAGCGGCGCAACCGGATCACTGCTGAGACTCAATTCTAAGCTAAGGTTCGATGGGTTAGCCATTTTTCAAAGGTGTTAAAAGAGATGGGTGGATGGAGTTAAAACTCAAAAGGCCGGAGATGAGCAACCTTCAAAGTATGCATGTTACAGGTGATCAATATCTCTATAAAAAGGAAGAGGCGCTTGCTCAGAAATCAAAGAGGCGTTGGTTTAGAAATCGAAGGGCCGCTTATTCAAAAGTGAGGAGACATCACTCTACAAATCTCAAAAGCTGGATTTTCCGGCGTAAGTTAGGCGACGCTTTCTCGGCTTTCCAGAAAACGCGTTCAACTTTGTCAAAAGATCTCCGACAAAGTTGAAAACACGTGGAGGCTGGCGACGCTTTCACGGCTTTTCAGAGCACGGGTGCCACTTTGTCAAAAGATCACGTGGAGGTCATCATCGCAGCTACACATCTTTAGTTGACAAGCGCAAACTTCGGCGACGCTTTCTCTGCTTTTCAGAAAACGCGTGCCACTTTGTCAAAAGAGACGCTCGTTCAGAAATCGAAGAGGCGTCGTTCAGAAACCAAAGAGGCGTATTCAAAGATCAAAGAGTCGTCACTATTTCAAAAAGCCGAATTTGCGGGATCAAAACGTTTGTCGACAAGGGTAAAAGAACAGTACCACCACTTGCTGTTGGGAAATCCCTATATATGTCGACCTTCATCTTTTATGGCAAGGCAAACCTGCAAACAAGAAAAAAAAATGCCCAACTCTTCCTCACCTCCGAGAGTACACTCCCAGCAAAACATCTCAAAATACTCAATTTTTTCCTCTTCCCCAAAGATGATACCAGATGCCTGGAGTACAGATGACCCAGGAGGAAACGGTAGATGGAAGCATGTGCTGATTCATTCACCGCTTCTTCAAAAGCAAAAGTATCTCATATCATCAAGGGCGAAAGCAAAGGTATCTCATATCATGCTTTTTCCCTGTCCTTTTCTTTGTCCTTGCTCTTACATGCAGGAGAAGGGGAAATAGAGTTATCAGTCGGAACCTGAAATCAAACTTCCGACCTGGAACTGATTGCCTGGAACCTTTGCCTGGTTGCTTACCTTGCATTGCTCTCGAGTACTCATCGTCGCGGAGAAGTAATGTTTTGAAGCACCATTTAAATGCAAAGGTTGCATTCCATTCCTGCATCAGAGGACAAATACTACACGAGAAGATGCCAAACCTGCATAAGGAAATACCACTTCTGCAAAGGGAGCAAGTAAGACAAGTGAAAATGATACATCAAAGCATGTGGAGACAAGCACAACAAATATATGTGCTGATTCATTCGCTGCTTCTTCAAAAGCAAAGGTATCTTATATCATGCTTTCTCCATGTCCTTTCCTTTGTCCTTGTTATTACTCGCATGGCAAAGTGAAAAGAGCAATCAGACGGCACTTGGAGTCAGTTTTCCGATCTACCCTCTTCAATACGAATTGGGGAAAGATTGAACAAAGAAACAGGTCATCACTTCCACCTCCTGCTTGCCTGCCATGTGTCTGAATCCTGCTACCCAATTCAAGAGTAGCACAAAGGAAAATCAACGGTAGGGGGAAACCAAAAGAATCCTCCAGCCCAGTTCAAGATCAAGCCTCGATGGCCCTTGAAGAAATCACAAGTCCGATTCAAAATCAAGTGTTCACCACCCTTGAATCAAATTCAACTCCAGATCAAAGGAGTAAGTTCAAACCTTCGGAGGAGACCAAAAGAGTCCTCCAGCTCAGTTCAAGAGTAAGCCTGCGGAAAATCAACGATTGGAGGAAACCGGAAAATCTTCCAGTCGAACTCAAGATCAAGCCTCGATGGCCCTTGAAGAAATTTCCAGCCCAATTCAAGATCAAGCCTCGACGGCCCTTGGGTTGACATCTACATTAAGGGACTTCAAAACGCATCTTCTACACGTGACAAGCACATGTCTACGACGCGCCTTGAAGTGGGGGCATTTGTAGACATCAAAATTTCGGTGAAATGAATGTTGACCAATAATTAAAATTTCAACGCTCACGTATCACATAAATTTTACATGTAGCGTGTGCCTCAACGAAAAATCGAAATAAATTGGAAAAGTCATCAAATATGACACGTGTCAATACCTGGCAGAAATGATTTATTTCATTTGATTATTTAAATCCAAAAATCAAGTTTTGGAATTCTATAAATAGGAGGCCAAGGCATTCATTTAGGGAGAAGGAAGGAGAAAGAAGGAAGGGAGAAGAGGGAAGAAAGAAAGAAGCCTTGAAACTCTAAAGCTCTCAAGCAAATCCCGAAGGATCAATCTTCGTTCTTCGTCAAATCCAACTCAAGATCAAGCCCCGACGGCCCTTGAAGAACTTCCACCAACGCAAGATCAAGCCCCGACGGCCCTTGAGGAAAGTGTTCATCGTTCATCATCCGTTCAACCTTCAAGATCAAGCCCCAACGACCCTTGAAGAACTTCCACCAACTCAAGATCAAGCCCCGACGGCCCTTGAGGAAAGTGTTCATCGTTCATCATCTGTTCAACCTTCAAGATCAAGCCCCAACGGCCCTTGAAGAACTTCCACCAACTCAAGATCAAGCCCCGACGGCCCCTTGAAGAAAGTGTTCATCGTTCATCATCCGTTCAATTCAAGATCAAGCCCCGACGGCCCTTGAAGAACTCACACCAACTCAAGATCAAGCCCCGACGGCCCCTTGAAGAAAGTGTTCATCGTTCATCATCCATCCTCCTTCAAGATCAAGCCCAAAAGCCCTTGAAGATTCGCTCATCCACCAACCTTCAAGATCAAGCCCCAACGGCCCTTGAAGAACTTCCACCAACTCAAGATCAAGCCCCGACGGCCCCTTGAAGAAAGTGTTCATCGTTCATCATCCATCCTCCTTCAAGATCAAGCCCCAACGGCCCTTGAAGAAACTCCCACCAACTCAAGATCAAGCCCCGACGGCCCCTTGAAGAAAGTGTTCATCATTCATCAACTGTTCATCCTTAGATCAAGCCCCGACGACCCTTTGGATCAACAATTCATCCACAAACCTACACCCTTCGAAGATAGAATCAGAGGACCAAATTACAAAGAGATTGTAGCCCTAAAAATCATTAATACAAAAAAATATATTTTGTACACGTATTCTTGTCTCTTGTGTTTCAGGAATTTCTCGTGTTTACACCAGTATTTCATGTGGCTTGGGAGTGTCTTCTCCTTCTGCTCATCATCCACATCATAGAAAACACAACCCAAATCAGGAACATAACCAGCTTCCTTCAACTTAATTGATAATTCTTTCATGAGAGCAATCGCTTGCATGAAATGTATGAAGGATTAGGTCAAGCTCAATCCAATTTCTTCCTGGCTCCCTTATCACAACCTTCTCTAACATCAATTCCCTTATGATTCTTGCATCTTCCCATCTCCCTGTAGAAGCATATAAATTAGAAAGAATGACATAGTTACCAGCATTTTCAGGCTCAATCTGTAAAAGTTGGAAACCCACAAATTCACCAATGTCGATATTTGAGTGAACTCTATAAGCACCTAATAACGAACCCCATATAGCAGCGGTTGCTTCAAAATGCATCTTTTTTTATAAACTCAAATGCCTCTTCAACTTGACCAGCACGCCCAAGAAGATCAACGACACACCCAGAGTGTTCAAGCTCTGGCTCGATTCCATTTTCACCTTTTTCCATCTCATAAAACTATTCCAACCCTCTTTCATTCCTCCATGGCTGCAACCGAATAAAACCACCAAAAAAGTGACACTGTCTGGTCTGACTTTATTTTCCTCTTTCATTAATTTGAAAAGCTTAACCACCTCTTTACCCATTCCGTGTTTACTATACCCTACAAGCATAGCATTCCACGAGATGATGGTTCTCTCTGTCATGCTATCAAAGATCCTTCTTGAGTAACTCAGGTTTCCACATTTAGAGTACATATCAATCAACGAGTTCAGAAGAACCACATATGAGGGCAGTTCCCGACAAAGGATGTGGCTGTGAACTTGCCTGCCAAGGTCCAATTCAGCAAGCCCTGATAATGCTGTTGACACACTCGCATAAGTGACGTAGTTCGAAGTCATTCCTTCTCTCTGCAACTGGCGGAGTAGCTCCAAAGCCTCCTCATCAGGACCCAGCTGGGCATATCCAGAGATTATAGCAGTGCAAGAAACAACATCCCTTTCTGACAAGCAGTCAAAAACTCCTTGGGCTTCATAGATTCTACCAGCTTTGGCATACATGTCAAGAAGTGAGCTCCCAACAAATATGTGCGACTCAAAATTTCTTCTTATTATTAGAGAGTGGATTTTCCTTCCCAAGTCCAATCCCAAAGCGCCTGTACATGAAGTAATTATGGTCACAAACGTGAACTCATTAGGCTCCATACCTGCAAAATTATCAATACAAGAAGCCCCTGTTAAACAAAGAGAGAGAAAACATAATAACAACAATGCCTAACTAATCAAAAGATCATTTTTTTTTCTTAAGGAAAGGAAGATAAAGGATTAGAAAGTCGAGCTACACATAAGGCTTGGTCATCAGTCTACCATGGTAGCCTGACTCTCTAAACCCACACAAGAAGGTCAGAAAGAACCAAGGCCCTGAGATTTAGCCATCAACTATAAAATAGCCTACTTCCTTCCTGCTCAGAGCGATTAGAAATGGCTAACTCCTTAATAGAATGACCCCCTTGTTCCCTATCTCCAAAACCCGTCAAAGGAAAAAAACAATACATCAACGAAAAAAGGAAAGCTCAACGCACTTAAACTCGAATTAAAAACTTTACTCACAACACAAGCAATGTCTCAACGACGCACTTATATAAACTCGAATTAAGAACAATAATACCTGATCTTAACATCTGTACAAGAAGTTTCAAGGCTTCAGAGGCATACCTCCTCTTAGAATAAGCCGAAACCATGGCCGTCCAAGACACAACATTTCTTTCGGGCATTTCGTCGAGCGTACGGCCTGCGTCACCCAAACAATCGCAGTAGTTGTAGAAGATGATCAGCCGGGTTCCGAGATGCACAGGCGGAAGATAACAGGTTCTGATCATGTGGGCATGGACTCTTTGGCCTTCTCTGAAGGCCTTTCGGTTTACGCACTCATTTAAGAGTGTATAGTAGCCGTCGAACTTCATCTCAAGGCCTATAGCGGCCATTTCCAACAGAGCTTCTCTCAGTTGACCGTTGGAGCATAGAGATTTAAAATTCTGTGGATTTGGAGGGAAGGAAGAAAGGCAGAGTTGGCGGGCAAATTGGTTGGCCATTTCCAAAAAGGTAACCTTCTAAATTGTTTAGACGGCTTAAAGATCTTCAAGGTCCAAGAGGTTATGTCCCCGTTTTTTTAATTCCTCCCCAAAAAATTATAAAATCTCACGAGATGCGCATTCATACATCACTACACGAATTAAACACTGATCTTCTCGTCCCTTTTGCCTATCCCACATGAATAGTCATAATTGATCCATACCCGCGTGCTCAACTAATCTTAGCATACTTCTCACAACTTAAGAGTGCGAGTGAAAGGAATTTGTAGTGTATTCTGGTTAAAAACCTTTAAAATCATAACATACAAAACAAATCTAGATATTGGTTTTTCTTGGTGGGTGACCAATTGAACAAACATTCATGCCTTTAATCTAACAAAAGCTTTGAACAAACCATCACCAACGTACAATCAGAAGAATGACATCATTCAATACTTCTTCCTAATCTCTCTCTCTCTCTATCCACCTCTTTCATTGTTTGTACAAGGCGGGGTGGAAATTAAGCAGAGATATGTTATTTACAGTAGCAGACCTGAAATCCAAAGGATCATTCCATTGCCTTAACGGATCATCGGACCATCTCATATTAACATTGTCAATCACCAAGCCATTGATGTGTTCCATGACGATCCCAGCCATGCTGTGTTTAACAAGACCCTGGCATCCCGGTCTGTAGTCTACCAACCCACCAGCATCATCGGTCCATCTTCTGTAAGTCAGATCCAAGTTAATGAATCGTAAATCACGGAGAAGCCCGCCTTTAGAACCTGACAAGAATACTCCATTCTCGGAAGTTGAGGTGATATTAACGAAGAGTAGGTTAGAGATTGAACCCTCCTTTGACTTTGAGTGTCGAGGACATGTGGTCACGTAGATTGGCTCCGCTCTTCCCCACCAGGATTGATCATAGTATCTTGTGCGTATATTTATGTTTGAGAAGGTAATGTCACTCACATTTCCTGCACAGATGAATAATTAGTAATCTTGTCATACTGAGAGAGCTATGACAGCAAGCTCTAATCAGCCTTTATTTTATCACAACGAAATTCTCTACTGTCAAACGTCAGTAAATTACCAAGTCCAGCTGCTACTTGTTGAACCAATTTGTTAATTGTTTTCAACTATTAAACCTGTCAATCTTTAGTTTGAACTCAGAAGGCAGACAATACAAAAGCCACAGAAAGAAGGAGTTTCGTTTAAGGACAGTCCCCCATAAGTGGTGGTCAATCGTTCATACAAGTGAGACCTACTGGGGACAGACATGCAACTATCGCTGAGAGTTATTCACGGGCTGCTTCAAACTTTCAGGCAGTCAAAACTCCCCAACTTGCGTACAAACTAGAGCTACGTTAATCCCGAAGCCCAAGAGATAAGTCCAGAAATTTTACATTCAAAGTCCCAGTTGGGTTTAAGCTATCTCATCGTTTACATTGACAATACGAGGTGATAAATGCATCAACTGATTAAAGATGTCGCATTATAGTTGTGGTACTTCTTTTCTTTTCTTCTTCGTAACTTAAAAGTAACAGTCATAACAATAATGCAACAAAATGATAGAGAATATATTACCTCCATCGCGTATTTGGAGTCCCAGCCCTCTATGAGAATCCACAATGGTGATGTTGTCGAACACCAGACCCTTGAAATCGAACCAACTAGCGCTGCCAAGTTTGATTGCCGAAGACTTTGTTCGAATCCAACAATTTGTTACAGTCAAGTTATAAAGGGGGCCAGTGTACGTCTTGGGACAGATAGCATCATCTCCAGTATCAATATGGCATCTGGTAATCACTGTGTTATTTGAATCCTCGATATCTATCCCATCATTGTTGGGTGTGTTGAAATCTCCATAAATTGAAACATCTTCAATGAAAATATTCTCGCACTGTACAATGTGCAAGCTGCAAATATGCAATGTTCCCATCAGTTACATTGCATTTCAAACTTGTACAAACTGCAAGCTGATTCGATCCGGACCTCTTTAAACAAAGAAGAGACTAAGTTTCACTAGACCAAATCGGGATGTAAGTAATTGATAACAACTAAATAAGGAGAAAAAGAATGTCAGCGGCTTCAAAGACGTAAGATATGGGAGGTTTTCTACCATGCTCCAGAGTTTCTGGCTCCATCTTGGATTCTTGGTCATTGTTTCATTGATCAAGGATCTAATGGATAAAAATCAATGCGCACATAATGCACCAGAGCATAGTAGAATTTTCGTATATAAAGTTGCACAATTTATTGAATGACATTATATCTAGGAGGTTCTTTACTATGCTCCGTGATTTTTGGCTGTATTTAGTTATTAGATTCTTGATCAAGGATATATAACTGCTAAAATTTCGGTGTATAGAAAGCGCCGGAGCATGCTAGAATTTTCGTATATATGGTTGTATAATTGTATAAGTAACTTGTAGCTTAGCTATTGGGCATACCCCAATAACTGAACTATATAATATTCCCAATATCTAGTTCCATATCCAAATGATGAATTCAACGTCATCAGTTAAATAAAATAAAATTATCTAAAAAATTTAAAAAAAATAATTGAGAGGAACAAAACGCACCACCAGTAAGCGGGCTGACGCAGCTTGAGATTGGAGAGATTGACATTCCGGCAGTTGATGAAGCCGACAAGCCTGGGGCGGCACTCGTCGCCCAAGCAAGCCCCGGTCCAATTCCAGCTCACCATCACATTCTTCCTCTCATCGAACCTCGTCACAAACTTCAACCCCTGACCGTCCACCACTCCGCCCCCGCTGATTCCGACGTTGATCGCATTCTCCGCCAGCACCACGTACCACTTGCTCTGCTCCTTCGGGTAGTCCTCGAGCCTGGGGCCGCCCAGGAGCGTCGCGCCTTCTTGGATGTCTAATACGACGCCGGATTTGAGGCGGATGGTCGCGGTGAGGTAGGTGCGGCCCGCGGGGAAGGTGACGCGGCAGGGGGAAGGGGAGGGGCAGCTGTCGATGGCGGACTGGATGGCGATGGTGTCGTAGCGGAGGCCGTCGCCGACGGCGCCGTAGTCGGCGACGGAGATGGTGGTGGTGGGGTTGTTGGGGAGTTCGATGGTGGGTGACGTGGCGAAGTGGGATTGGAGGGGAGGAAGCAGAAAGAGGAGGAATAGGAGCGGGAGAGTGAGTGATTGGATGAGGAAGGGCGGAGGAGGTGGTGGGGCAATTGCCATTTGGAATTGGCTGCTGCCTTTTCAAACTTGAAGTCAATCGTCCGCTCTCGATGATAATTCTGAAATGCGAAACTCCCCTTCAACGCGTATACGGTTTATTATGGTTTAGGAGTGTTTTTTAAGCAACTAAAATCATGTATGTTTCGTAGAAGAAAGTTATAAGTGCTTCTAGCGCTTTTTAGAACAACTTGAAGTGTATTATGTGCTTATTGAACTTGAAGCCCATTTTTATGTAGCGCTTATATTTTAATTAAAAACTTCAATATGCTAATAGAAGTTATTCTACTAAAAGTGCTTCTGAACAAAAGTGATTCTTCAAAATGCGGTTCAAAACAACTTTACTTTAGTGTTGCTTAGTGCAAGATTATGGAATATAGAATTAATATATGATGGAATTTAGAAGACTTCACAGCTAATAGTAGTTCAATCCAATTTCAGGGCATTATCAAGTCTAATTTTTAGCTACAATGACATTCCAATTATTCGAATGTAAATTATGCATGGAATGATTAGAACTAAGATGAAAATGAATGAGCACACTACTTTAACTAATTTGACTATATTCAAGTATTTTATTGACTACAATTTTACTCTTTTTTTTTTTTATTTTGAACTCTAATAATCGAGAAAAACTTGCATGCATCCGTTGCATAAAATTGGTGTCTCAAAATCTCACATTCATAGTCATTTGTTGCTCACTTTATATAGCAAATGTTCAAACAATTGTTTCATGCAAGCAGCGCAAACATGTTAAATTTTGAGTTTTCATTGAAAAATTAAGATATATAAATAACAAGAGTGTGTAGAAGGGGAAAAAAAAAAAAAAGAATATGCCAAAATCATTTGCCTATTAAAGTGTCTCACTGTTCTGTAGTAAAAACTATCATTCATGAGATTTGAACTCAAAACGACGTACTGTTGATGGATGAAAATCTAATTGGGTTGTACTTAACTTCAACGAACAAGTTTTCAACACAAACGAGCACAAATCCTCGACAAGAGATAGAAGCTACCTCAGCGTCCTAGCCGTGCAATTGCTAAAGTGCAGAAGTATTCATGGCGCACAATGAACAAATATAGTATTAAGCAAGGGTTCCTTCAATGATTTTACAATAGGAATCAAATATCAGTTCAAAAAATAGGTATTAGTTTGAACGACCCTCAGAGTTGGTATATATATACTTATAAGGATAACATACCAAATCTATTTCCTCTCGAGGCGAAGCAAATCGGGATGTTCTTAACTGACTCTGAAAAACAGAGAACAAAGAAACTCGACCATGAATACCGAGACATTTCATCTACTACCTGCTAACTGCTAATACTATACTTCATATACACATTTCTACTAGTACAACTTAATTACGTCTTCACATCTCCATCTCCAGGTGACTTGTCTGCAGTTGCTGTACATAAATACCGAAACCAAGTTAAAATCGTTGTTTCATTTTGCTTTTCGAGTGACAACTGAAACAAAGTGCACCTCACGTATATTTTTCATGTATAATTCAGCCTGAAAATGAGATATGCAAAAGAACTTTGCCAATAACGTTAAAATCGGTCTAAGGTCTACCTGAGTTTGCTGAAGAATCCCAACTGATGAGGAGGGTTCTGGGCTAATGAAAGTGTGATTTTCTTCTTCCCGCCCCCAACCTGGCTGCTGAAGCGCTTCAAAGTGCCATTGCTGCTGATACGGTTGTCTGTTCCTATTGATAGGGACTTCCGGATACATCAGAGGTGTAACCATACTGGCGAAGTTACTTTCCATCAGAGATCCACTCTGAAAATTGTGAAGGATAGAAAAGTACTTCAGTAACAGACAGCATCAACCTTTTAACACCAACTCAAAGAAAGGTTTGACGAGTCTAATATTTTTGCATAACTTCATACGATGGAAACTGGAAACAGACACCTAAGCAAGAATGCATGCATAAACCTGTACTGAACAACTGATAAAATTATAAAACACATGGGCAACTTCATAATTTACCAATTTTACTGTGCAATAGTAAGTATAGGAGTTATACTTACTTCAGCAACCAATAGACTATCAAAGTTGAAATCAATTCTCGGGTTGACTGCTGCAAGTCTCATTGATAAGATCTGAAACAAATGCAAACCAGAATCAGAACATAGCAGCACAACATAGTTTGAAATTACCAGTTTGATAACTAAAGCATAAGTCGTTAGAAAAAATGGTGGCATGCAAGGACAGGATCCAGAGTCCAGATCCATAAGGATGCACAACCACTGGCCAAGTTCAAGCCTTTTCATTTTAGCGTCAAAACTATTACATGAGATGTATGAGATGTGGAGCAGGTCTGACCTCAACTTGATGTTGTAGGGACTGCACGTGACTGATGATTTCATCTAGAACCAATGCTGTTCCTGAAATCTGCAAGGCAAATTTATTTTAGTCAGTGACTCAAAAAAGGCATACAAAAATTCAAATGATGTAAGGTATACCAGTTAGAGAACAATTAACAGAAAAAGTTTGCTTAACACATTCAATCTAACAAGATGGAACGAATCCTGTAACTGGGAAATCATTCTCGTGATCAAAATGTTCAGCTCCTCAATATATATTTATTTTCAGTGTAAAGCATTTTCACTAGATGAGGCCAAAATTAGATCATATGAGAAAAATAATTCCTTTTCATAATAAAAACATGCTAGTTAGATTCACATTGCACGCTAAAAGCGTTCTCATCATGTCAGTTTGAATGAAGTACCAAAAAATTGGCATCAAGAATGGACTGAGTACAGTAGTCAACTTCACTGGAGAATAATAGAATGACTTCTGAAAACTGGAAAGTGCAATTCCACGAGGAAAACGCATTTGAAACTCGAATATTTTGATGGTAAGATGTAGGTGCGCAATTGGTGGCTCCAATTATGGATGCAGGTCAAGAACAAAGACTCAATATGCACTAAAAGAAACAACTCGTTTTAAGAAAGCATCGTCATTTGGCTTTTCCGCAAGGTAAATCACATGGAGTAAACTGTCCTTGCAATCTGTCAGCTTCCAGCAGCGTACAGCTCAATGGATCAACTCCAACGAGAGCAGATAGAAATCAATCACATTTGTTTTCTATTATCGAACCTACACCGAAGAAAAGGTAGTATGCTAAATTTTATTCGAAATTTTGTTCCTATCCAATTTGAGGAAACTTCACAAAATTATACCGGAAAATCCCAAAAACTTGCCATCAGCAGAAAGGAATCTTAGGCATGCTAGATCTTTCGTTCAGCTCAATCAAGTGAAATGCTAATTGGACTCTCACTCACCCACATCATGATGTCCCACGCAGTTAGGTGGTGAAGGGCAGTTTGTTAAAGGAGGCTTTCTTTTGTCTTCTCTTTTCCGTCATCCAACTAAGGATGGTTACCAAACTCGTCACAGGTGGCAGTACCATGCACCCTTCACATAGAGCTAGAGTGAACCCCCACCCCCCACAACTTGTGGGACCCACAAATATCTAAATCTGTAAATTCAACATTGCCCACTAATTGTGGGGTCTCTCCCCCGAAGCACCACAGCTCAGTCCAGCTAGCATTAACCCATAAGGGCACATCCGTCTTTTACAACAAAATTCCGCTATTTTCTAAGCGAATAATAACAATATATGAGTTAGGCTAGTCAGATGGCCAAAACTTACACACTTGGGAATATATTTGTTTCTTTCTACCTCTTATCACTTGAAGAGAGAGATAGAAAGAAGGGGGTATACACCAAAAGACATGAGAGTGTTTCTCTAGTTGGACATGGCAATATGTCTGTGGTCCGCCACCTTACACCCGAGTTCAAATATCTCCATTTTAGACTAATTTGGAACTAGAAGTGTCATTTAGACAAAAAAAAAAAATACAAATTCTAACATACAAAACTAAATGAAATTTCGGCACTTAGTATTATGCTCTAGTGGTATTGCTTTTTACTTGTAAGTGAGAGGTCTTAAGTTCGATTCTCGCCAAAAGCGAATTTGAACCACATTTTTGCTAGCCCATTGTGAGATTTGCATAACTCATCACTTTGGTCCTTGAGATTTGAAATCAATAAAATTGGTCTCGTCCACCATCAATCATTTTGGTCATTCCGTGAAAAATCTCAATAAAATAAGAATAAAATAACAAAAACACGTCAAATCATTTTGACATATTGTTTATTATGTTAAGGGTAATTTTGTCATTTTGATCATTATTTAACATAATCTTTCACCTAAAAACCGAAACTATTGATGGTGGACAATCTGAGAAACCACTTCTATTAATTTCAAATATCAAGAACAAAGTAAGGAGTTAGGCAAATCTTAATAACCATTTTGGTTAAAAAGCCAAAAAAACTAAATGAAATTTCAAATAACAGAATTAACCTTAAAAAGAACTCCTCACCAAGCCCAGTACACACCCGATTTCATCTTTGTAGGTAGAGAAGGAAGAAAAAGGTACAAAGAGAACGAAAAAGTACGGAGTGAAAGAAGTAAAAAAGACAGTGAGAGGAGGGGAACGAGGGGAGGGAAAAAACAGGAGAGAATCCCCATCACCACCCTCACCCCCACCACTACAACTTTTCCATTTTCTCAAATTTTCTCCAAATTATAAAAACAAAAAAATTAAAAAATTAAAACTGCATTGGATTACGGAAATGCCACTGGGACAAGCCCAGAGAGCGCTTTTCTTGGTGGAAAAGCAAGGCACTTTTGTGAAAAGGGAACAAGGACAAAACCGTTACTAAAAAAAGCACATAATCTTAAAAATCCCCAATCAACCGATTAATCAAAAGATTAAGATCCTAAAAGTCAATCAAACCTTATTGCATCCTGGGACCAGCTCCTGCAGCAGCTTCATCCTCGCGTTAATCTTCTCTCTCCTCGCCTGTATAATCCCAAAAGTATTTAATTAATTAGCAGAAAATATTTGATTAGTTAACATTAATTGTGCGTTTAATTAATTAAAGAGGATTGATTACTCGCTCTGCTAAGCTATGGCTGTCCGTGGCTTGACCGCGACGAGCTCGAACATGAACGTACGGCAACTTCTCGGCGTCCTCTTTGATTTCGGTCTTGCACTTCTTCGTCGGGGCCTTAATCTGAATTTCACAAAGTCAGAGGGGTTCAATTCGAATTTTATCGATCACTGCGA